GACATGCCACTGACGTCACACAACACGTTAATGACCCCTCCTTGGCTCTACAAGGATGCTTGTTTTGTGACGTCAATAACACGTCATATTCGAGCAGGTATAATTACATGCCATCTCTTGATAAGTGACAGACCTATGCTACACCTGCGCCACTGAATGTGTCCGCTACACTGACAAACCACAGCAATCAGTAAAAGAACAAATAGAAAGACTAACTGGTTATCTCCTAGGAGGTACTTTACCTCCCCCAACTGGTCATCGCTCTCAATTCCGCGAGACTGCTGATAATACCTCATCGGTCTTCGCGCATCAAATACCACTGTACTAAAAGTGTTTGTAGCTTCATCCAAAGTGTAATGAACTTTCTGGAACTCGAACCATATCTTTGTGCTGCCAGCCCTCTGAAATTTTTTGGAAATGATCTAAGATATAGAAAAACGCTCTTATGTCGGTTTGTCAGAAAAATCGCACCTGAGTCCTTCTAAGAGGTACAAGTTCTGCCCATCCATTGTTAGGTGTTGGAACAACCTTGGCTAAAGTTGACTTTCGCGGATCTTTTTCCTGGAATGGATGTTTTTCTCAAGGCAATCGCAGCTTTTCATAGCATCTTCTCAGTGCTTCCGGATCTCAGGCCTAGCCACCCCAAGGCTTCATTCATATTTTGCCAATGGGGTGGGGGTGCGCCATAGAAGAAAATCGCAGGCAAAGTAAAGAATACGTATCGATCTGGAGAAATCACGATTTAAAAGCGAGAATGTGTGCCGACAGAGGAGATAAATGACACTCGTAGCACCTCGTCTTTAGCACGCCACCAAGAAATGTCATACTATTCGAACTCAAGGCTATTCACATCTCGTGGCATTGCGCTCTAACGGTAATCTTGTCCCGCTCCAACGGTTTAAAAATTTACCCTTTTGACTTCTGCAACGTCGAAAGATCTACACCCTCTATCGCTCGTGCGGTCCAATAAATTGCGGTGGAGCGTAGTCCGTCAGACATTAGAAATTCCCGAATTACGCGACTGAGTCGCTCAAGTCGCGATTAGGCCTTATGAGTCATTCATCCGCAAATCACAACTCCACATCCCAGCGATGGAATGAGCGTGGCCGCGTACCTCACTTGAACTTCGCGTCACAGTGAGTTCTTCGTGGATATTTCCATTTGATACAAGTGTTGTCCCATCTTTGTACTGGACAAATTCATGGCTGTCTCTGTTCTGAAACTGCACTATCCCTCCAGGAAGCGTAACCCACCATGGGTTAAATCGACACTTACCGCAGGCAGGGGTTCCCCATTGCTTGGATAAGTCCACATCGATGACGCACACATCATAGCATAAGCATGGTTTAACACCTGTTCAAATCAAGTGCTGCCTGGTTCCGCTACTTGTTACTTTTGCGCTCCTGTGGTGTGCATCAGTCAGCCAACAGAAAAGGGGTAGAAAACACTGAAAATGGGCCTCTAACAGTTTTTGATTATACACTATTTTGATCAAAATTGGCAGGTGTATCACTACCTGGATAGCAGGAAAAAAAAGAAACAAACTGCACAAAAAAAAAGAAAAGAGTCTCATTGAGCAGACACTATTCAGAAAAGCGGAAGTGTGGAAGATTGGATTTGAAAGAAGTGGCAGTTCGAGACTAAGAAAGAAAAGCTATTAAGCAAGCGGTAGCGCCAAGGCCTACTTGCCACTCTTGGCGACTGGGTGTCATTTTTACCGCTTCTATCCTCATTCACCTCTATTAACTCAAGCATTTTCGTTGTCTGTTGAATTCCGTTTTTGCTTTTCTCTCATCCCATCATTCAACACTTCCTCGTCATTATTCTCACCATTTTTTCTTATTCCAATTTAAGGTCCCACAGACTTCCATGTGATTACTCTGATCATGCTCTTTATACAGTCCCCGCTTCTTTCCCCTCATTGTCCTCCATAGAGATGCGCTGTTTCCCCCACATTTGTGCCTTTTGACTGACTGGCAAACTGTTCTCCGTGAGCGCAAAATTCACGTGGACATAAGCTGGGATAAACCATGCCCTGCAGTCTGGCGCGATCACACTCGTGCATCAATTATTACATGCAAATTAGGAGGCGCCCCGTCCAATTATGATTAGGTTGAGGCTTCAAATACTAATGACCAAGAGTGTAAACAGCCATAAGAAGGAAGCTGAGAGAGTAAGAAAACTAGTCGATATAATCAGATAGAACCCCTTCCGCCGCCCCTGGCGAATCGAAAAAATTTTCCCCGCTCGTACGTTTATACTCGAAGAGAAAGAAATGGTCCCACGTTCCGGCTTGCTGGTCTCAGCTCCTTCCTCTTATCACCTCATCCTATCATACAGAGCGCAGAGTTAGTGGCGGAAAAACGCTCATTCAGGAAGCCTTTGGAAATGGAAGTTGGGCGCTGCTGTGACCAGTGGGCGGGCGGCGTGGTCACAAGACATCAGTCAACCGGATGCTCTCTCGCTGCCAGGATTTCTAAGTGTTCCTCATCGTATCTTCTGGGCCAGCATTTAGAGAAAGGGAAATAAGGAAGAGTGACCACAGAAGGAAGGAAGAAAATAAACAAATGAGGAAGGGAAAAGGAGGGGGAGGAAGGCTAGCAGTTGACAGATATCCTCAGACCGCGGTGGCTTCGTCGCAAGCGCGTCGCGCTTTCCTCACGTCTTTTATAACTGCCCTACACTCTTCATGATTGTGGAATGGGGGCCTTCAACTGAAAAAAAACAAGGATGATGAATAAAACAATGGGTAAAGGGAGCATCAAAAGCCGGTAGGCTTTCTTCTCATCCCCCGCCGTTTTTTTACCGAGCATCTTGATTACACTGAGACCACGATTTCAATGAATAAATGAATAATCCAGCTCCGAAACTGGTGAACATTGTAATACAACGATAGAAGCTCACCTGTATGCAGCTGAGTGCGCACTTGACACCGACAAACCAATGACAAAATAGAATAATCAGCGCTTGTACCAGACAGATTATTGCTACGCCGATGAATCCGAGCTCATAATATTCATCAGCACCGAACAGCGACAACCACACGTAGAGCCAACTTGCGTAGAGCACTTAAAACAACATTTTTCAACCTTGGAATTCCTAGCGTGGGGTGAGGGAGTCGTACTGGTCGCTGGAGGGAAGGAAAACTTACTTGGCCCAAGGAAGAACTGTTGATAGCTGATTTTTTCTGATTCACTCGTTGGGAGGCTTCCATTTGGGGAAGAGGTCGTAATGCTCGCTGCATTAGCACCCCTCAACCTCCCCCCCCCCCGCAGGTGGCAGCGCCACAGGACCAATATATCTACTATGTTTGATAGTGAAATTTAGATAGTACTCCTAATCTTGAGGGCAACATTTTATAGAAAATCTGTGAAACGGGAAAACTTGTTAGGACTTTAGGAAAACTTAGGAAGATGGTTGGTTGCATGGGTAACGAGGGGGGGGGTGGCGTACGAGCGACAGCAGTTTAGGGGAGGGGTCATATTCTGCGAAAATTTCCCTTAGCCACAGGAAATGTTCTTGTGGGGCAACGAAAAGGTATAATTGAGTGAATTTGGTCACGGTGTTTACAGGTTTTCACAAGGTGGCCGGCACAAGCGTCGTTGAGTACCTTTTGATGCGTAGGAGTCCTGTTTCTGGGGGTAAGGAAAATTGCTTGACCCATAAAAACAAGTTTAAGCTGATTCTCATGTTTTTTCTTATTCCATTGTCGCCACAGACTTTCATGTGATTACTCTGATCATACTCTTTATACAGTCCCGCTTCTTTCCCCTCATTGTCCCCCATTCAGAGATGCGCTGTTTCCCCTACATTTGTGCCTTTTGACTGACTGCAATGTTCGATCCGTGAGCGCAAAATTCACGTGGACATAAGCTGGGATAAACCATGCCCTGCAGTCTGGCGCGATCACACTCGTGCACCAATTATTACATGCAAATTAGGAGGCAGGCCCCGTCCAATTATGATGAGGTTGAGGCTCATACTAATGACAAAATGGTAAACAGCACAAAAGGGAAGTAAAGTAGAAAAACTAGTCCGATATAATCAAGATAGAACCCCCTTCCCCGCCATGGCGAACCGCGTTCCGCTCGTATGTTCATACTCGTGGCTGCACGAGTTGCGCATTGTTGGTGTCAGCTCTTTCTTGTTATCGCCTTCCTCACATCATTCAGAGAGCAGAATTGATGGCGGAACAACCGCTCATTCAGGAAGCCTTTGGAAATGGAAGTTGGGCGCTGCTGTGACCAGTGGGCGGGCGGCGTGGTCACAAGACATCAGTCAATCGGATGCTCTCTCGCTGCCAGGATTTCTAAGTGTTCCTCAACGTATCTTCTGGGCCAGCATTTAGAGAAAGGGAAATAAGGAAGAGTGACCACAGAAGGAAGGAAGAAAATGAACAAATGAGGAAGGAAAAAGGAGGGGGAGGAAGGCTCCGCAGTTGACAGATATCCTCAGACCGCGGTGGCTTCGTCGCAAGCGGGTCGCGCTTTCCTCACGTCTTTTTGAACTGCCGGCGAAAGTACTACATTCTCCATGATTATGGAGAGACTACCTCGTCTAAAACAAACCAGATGGGGTCCTTTAACTGAAAGAACAAGGATGATGAGTAAAACAATGAGTAAAGGGAGCATCCAGCCGGTAGGCTCTCTTCTCATCCTCTCCCCCCTTCTTACCGAGCATCTTGAATTACCTTGGAACCACGATTTCAATGAATAAATGAATAATCCAGCTCCGAAACTGGTGAACATTGTAATACAACGATAGAAGCTCACCTGTATGCAGCTGAGTGCGCACTTGACACCGACAAACCAATGACAAAATAGAATAATCAGCGCTTGTACCAGACAGATTATTGCTACGCCGATGAATCCGAGCTCATAATATTCATCAGCACCGAACAGCGACAACCACACGTAGAGCCAACTTGCGTAGAGCACTTAAAACAACATTTTTCAACCTTGGAATTCCTAGCGTGGGGTGAGGGAGTCGTACTGGTTGCTGGAGGGAAGGAAAACTTCCTTGACCCATAAAAACAAGTTTAAGCTGATTCTCATGTTTCATCTCTTGTCTTTGTCGTCGTTGTTAATAGGCTTCATTTGGGAAGAGTTCGTAGTGAGCTTGTTGCATACACTCGCCTCACTCCCCCCCCTCGCGTGGACTGCGCATAGTACCATATATATCTACTGTTTGATAGTGAAATGGATTAACTCCTAATCTTGTGTGCAACTTTTGTAGAAAATTGGAAAGGGAAATTGCTAGATTTTTTATTTGAAAACTTAGACGAGTTGTTACATGGGTAAAGAGGGGGTGGGTGGCGTACGATGACAGCAGTTTAAGGGAGGGTTCATATTCCTGCGAAACTTTCCATTAGCGCCATATAATGTTCTTGTGGAACGAAAAGTAACTGAGATGAATTTGGTCACGGTGTTTACTGCGCTACGTTTTCAACATATGGGCACAAGCGTCGTTGAGTACCTTTGATGCCCCACCAAACGAAGTGCCGCGTCATTCAAGTCTCGAAGAAAGTGAAAAGAATGGTATATTCTAACATATCAAGTAATCAGCGACATATACCCAGAGTACGTCGTCCGAGTCTCAGAGGGGTCATATATGGTTACTGGAGGGGGGTGCGTGTTTGCTCGCGATAGAAATTT